CAGTGTTAATAAGCCCAATTTCAGTCAATTAAAGTTGAAAACATTTTCTAACAAATCTTAGTTGATAAGAAAAAAGCCCAATAACACATTTACGTAACAACATTGAAATATACCCTCTTATTATGAGCAATCTGAGCCTCCTGTTTTAAGGAATGAGCTACCAACACAATAAATGAAACCCTACGGAGAGCTGTGTGTATATTTCATCAATATCAACCATAATTTACCTACATTTGATAGATGTGTCTAACTTATAACTTATGAGGCAATACACCTCTTGTGAGTGGTGTTTGTTTGGACACCCCTGGTCTATAGTAATGTTAGAGGAACATTTTTCATCACACCGGAAAACAATTCTGCTGGATTGATTAATAATGGAGCGTACTAAAGTCACAAGCAGTATAGGGCTAGGGTTATGCTTTACCAAAAAAACAATACCAGTCGATCGATTCAAATCGGAGCAGCAGCCATGTTTTATAGTTGTTCTCATTGGTTGTCAATACGCTGTGACGTACACAACCCTGAATGGATTTTGCCCCTGAATTTGGAGATGGTTACCATGGTTGCTGGTCCACTTGACCCTCCCTGAGGAAGGCTTATTCACCTTCAGGGATCAATACCATTATTATATACGTAGGTGTTGTTGACATTAGGTTTAAGACCTTCATTTCCGCCAGAGAGCCATTCTTATATAAAACACGTACACTTCCCTGCCCTATCAGGCCGGTAAGAACTGTTCCTGTCCTTTCACCAGGGCTTTTACTGTGTTTTTAATCAACGGCTGGTTCATGGCAGTAATGGAGCCGCGGATACAGCTTCCATTTATACAGGGTACACACACACACGATAAATCACACACACTCATTGCCCTGCAAGGTGCACCCCCCAAATGGAATAATATCAACCGTTTGTTTTAACAGTTATAATTGATATGTGTTTGATCTTGCTTTATCTCAGCTATTTATGCAGTGTGTGTGTTTGTTTATTTTGTTTGTACTTCTTGCCTTATCGTCCCATTGCAAACACAGTATAAGGATTTAATTCAAAGACACTCCATTTATGTTTCTTTTATAGCCACAAACACTACATCATAAGTATGATAAGCTTCTTGTGACTTAAGTGGAAGAAAAATAAGGCAAAACAAACCGCTTGATTTATAGCCTAATGCTTCAGAAATATGAAAACTATCACTGCTAAACATATACTTTGCATAATAGTAATGTTTTAGGTTGAACGTATTTAAAGTTCTTGAGGGTTTTTAAAACTTCACTAATTAATAAAAAGTATAGTTGTTAGTGCAGAGGAAATATTATAATCAGTCACAAGAAGGCACACAGAGTGGTTGAAGGGTTCTTCTGCCACACCTTTAAGCCTCAGGACCTGGCTTTGAAAAAAATACTTAAATCTCTGCTCACTACATACAACGTGCTAAACATGATATGTGTCTAATGGCAAACAAATCTAATGGCTTTTGACCTTTTGTTGATTCTCTGAAAAATGGATTGTCAAAAAATTATAATGTCGAGCATGTTTTTTCTTTCTTTTCATCCCTCTGTGCTTCACCAGGCTGTCTGCTTTTGTTTAACTAGGCTGACATAGCAAGAAAGTATTAACCCTCCTATTGTCTTCGTTTCCCCCCCTTACTTTGGTGTTCGCGGTAACATTTGACCGGTCCTGTTTTAACTGCTATTACATTAACACAAAAACCATTAATCATCACCAAATTTCATTTAACACCCTTTCAAACTGTAAATATTGTATCAGACTAATGGTATACATGAAGAACTGCAGTAAATATACAAAGAACAGACACTGAACATGTATTGCGTGTGCCAGGTATGATCCATGTGGGGGGATGGGCACATAAGAGCGAGAAATTGGTCAAATTGTTCTGTGTTTGTCTGCGTGTGTGTGTGTGTGTGTGTGTGTGTGTGTGTGTGTGTGTGTGTGTGTGTGGTGTGTGTGTGTGTGTGTGTGTGTGGTGTGTGTGTGTGTGTGTGTGGTGTGTGTGTGTGTGTGTGTGTGTGTGTGTGTGTGTGTGTGTGTGTGTGTGTGTGTGTGTGTGTGTGTGTGTGTGTGTGTGTGTGTGTGTGTGTGTGTGTGTGTGTGTGTGTGCCAGGTGTGATTCACATGGGGGGATTGGGCACATAAGGGGGACACACATCTGGAGAGTGTGTGTGTGTGTGTGTGTGTGTGTGTGTGTGTGTGTGTGTGTGTGTGTGTGACCGGGAACACCATGGGTTTTACAAAGTTGACTAAATCCTCCAAAATGCAATGAAAGTGTTGATCAGCAATTGTATATGTTCAAATGTCTACTGTGAAGGATATCATAAAGCCTTAATGCAATCGAATGTAAAACAAAAAAGTTATGATTGATGAAAGTAGTAAATCGGTCAGATTTGACCTGAAGACAACAGGAGGGTTGCTGCTCTAGGCAGTTCAAAACTTTAAACAACTTAAGATCCAAATGTCAGATTTTCAGCAAGTGCAAAAATAGCTATAGCTATAATTCTAAAATGGTTATTTTATCAAAACATAAGAGAAGGTTTCACAGAATGTTCTCTCGGCGCACAAAAGGAAAATGCAGGGCTCCTCAAACAAACTGCTCAAAGATGTATCCAGTGTAACTTTAATGCGAGAACACAACAGCAACAACACACACTCTACAGATAACCTTGCCATAACAACAATGTCAATAATAGAGAATAACTCGACATTAAAACCACATTTATCGGATTACAGGATCGCTGTGAATGATCTCCACCCACACTGTATATTTAACATAACTAATAGTTTGTTAATCAATGGAAAACATATAAACATTACACATCATGACATGTTGTATTTGTACTACAAGGTATGATCTAGGTGTCCTCTCTGGTTTTGGACCTTCCTTGCAGCATGGCTCTTCGGACAGCATTGTCTGTTTCAACGTCTGTCCATCTGTCCACCACTAAAGTTCCAATCTAAAATGTCTTAAGCGAAATAATTGATGCGCTGTTAACAAATATGTTGTATTACTTATGGTCAAAACTTTAATAGTTTTCATCCAGAGCGCCCATCACAAGAAAATCTCAAGTCATCCAATACTACAGTGACAGTGAGGATTTATGAATTGCACGTTTTCATTATTTTCCAGACGACTTCCAACCAATCTGTGAACCCTACCCTCTGATCAGCGTCTGGAAACGAAGCCGTTCATAGTGTTTGTTTTCTCTTGCCGTGGCTCACTGCTCTTCAGGTGTCATTATTTAGTTTTCACTTCAATTTGTTATTCATTGCTTACTGAATGATAAGAGGACTTTCCTCTGGTGTCAATCCCAATAGCTGCTTTTCATTTGGACAAACAAGGTGTTTTGATTCAGTTGATCAGCAGGACTAGGATAATGTTCTCCGTTGGGTTTTAAGCTGGAAACACAGTGTGATTTAGTTCTCCTGTCAAACAGTTTTTAACTTCAAAGTCAAGTCAACTTTTTTGTCAATATACTGTTTGTGTGATACATCGAAATGCTGTTTCTCACAAGCCAGAGGAATACAATAAAAAAACTATACTGTACATACATTTATATATACATACATACATTTATATATACATACATACATACATACATACATAGTACATACATACATACATACATTCATACATACATACATACATACATACATACATACATACATACATACATACATACATACATAGTACATACATACATACATACATTCATACATACATACATACATACATACATACATACATACATACATACATACATAGTACACACATACATACAGAGTACATACATACATACATTCATACATACATACATACATACATACATACATACATACATACATACATACATACATACATACATACATACATACATACATACATAGATAGTACATACATACATACATACATACATACATACATACATACATACATACATACATACATACATACATACCTGTACACCCACTCATATAAATATATACTGTACATACACATACATAATCAAACATACATATGCACCAATTAAGATGCATAAATAAAAGGCACAACTGTCAATATATCCAACATAACTGTCACTTCGAAACGGGTGAGGTAACATTAAAACAGTACAAATATGTACAGTAGTGCAAATGACTGTGTTCACATGTCAGTTTTACCCTAATATCTTTGTTACTTCTTTCACAATTACTTGTTTTAAAATGTTAAATGACTCCATCTTTTGCTGTTATGGCCTACTTATAACATATTGTTCAACAAATATTTATTTTACCTTTCACTGCATACTGTACTCTGAAAACTAAACTCTTATGAATCTTTATTTTATTTGATGTGCTTCTTGTTATCTCTCTACGGTACACATTTTTATTTCTGTCTTCCTTCTCCCACCTTTTTATTTATTCTGCTCCACATCTGTTTCCTTTTTTCCTCTGTCATCACATCCTACTCTAGATGCATACATGTTGTATTTTCCTCAATGATCTGTGCCTGCCTGCTATTATTAGTGTCACTGCCAAATGTGCATGAGAAATTTGCATTATAAATGAACAATTGTTATTCAAATATTCATCCACATTGTTCTCCGTAACAATAAACATAGGTTTAATTGAGTAATATGTAAACAAAGGTTTAGTTATTAAAATTCCGCTTCGGTAACATTAGAAGATTGATATTAATATCCGCTTTATGCAATCAGACTGGTTTAGCCTAGCTTATCGCACAGACTGGAAGTACGAAGGTGAAGTTAAAGCAAGAAATTAGACCATTCAGCTTCTAATAAACTAGATCCCCAGTGCATCCATGAGTCACCAGAGCTTTGAGGAAGGATTGTAGTTAATGAAAGCTTGTGTAACTGCTCATATGATTGACACATCATTGTCTCTGCTTCCACTGTTTATGCTGCCTTAGGCCAAATACATCCTAACCCTACCTTGTTGCGACTAGGCCTGACTTACCAATTATTATTTTTTCTTTTATCTCTTTTATCTAGCCATTGAGTGCATCGTGGTTTTGCCTGAACCAAAGAGTCACTGGGATCCTGTCTTCGGCACCTGCGTGTTCCTCTTCTCCTTCCTCATCCCTGTGGCTATCATCAGCATCTGCTACAGTCTGATGGTTAAGCGCCTGCGCAACGTCCGCATCCTGTCCGGCTCCAAGGAGAAGGATCGCAACCTGCGGCGCATCACCAGGATGGTGCTGGTGGTGGTGGCGGCATTTGTGGTCTGCTGGACCCCAGTCCAGATCATGGTCCTGGCTCAGACTCTGGGCTTCAACCTGAGCAGCCTGTTCACGCTGGTGCTGATGCACTTCTGCATCGCGCTGGGCTACGTCAACAGCAGCTTGAATCCTGTGCTCTATGCCTTCCTGGATGAGAACTTCAAACGCTGCTTCCGTGAGTTCTGCAACCCGTCGCCCTTCCGCCTGGACACCCAGCAGTCGGGCCGGATGAGGAGCATCGCCAGGGAGGTGGCGGCGGCCTACAGTTGCAAAGCTGATGGTAGTGGGCACGGTGGAGGGACATCTAATCCCGCATGACTAGGCGTGGAGCTTCCCTTGGTGGGGGTAGACCCCCAAGAAAGGGGAGAGAACCACGGGACAGGGAACTCCAACACAGAATTGACCCAGATTACAGCTCTCTAGCGGCACGAGCCCCCCCGCCCCCCAACTAGAAGACTGGCCTGGGGTGGGGGGGAAGGAGATGAGGAGGAAGGGGTCGAAAGGAAAAGGATTTAGAAATATGGATGGTGATGCCAAACATATAATACATATAGTATTAGGGAGAGGGAAATGGGCTACATTGAAAGCTTTCGTAGAATGGGTGATGGACGTCTGTGTAGGCGACGGTGCCTGATATGGGGTTAGGGTTAAATAGCCCAAACCATTTTGATTCCTGGATTTTGGAATGAATATGGCCCTAACTCCACTGAAGCGGTAAGTCATTTTGGAATGTAAGAATCAAACTATCTTTAGGTGGACTTAAACACAAAAGAGGTGTTTGAAAGTGATTGAATCTTTCAACTGAGGCTGGTACCCAGTTGCTGCATCTCTAGAAAGATATCTGACTCAGTACTTGTATATGAGAAGGTAGGTGTTGGGGCCAGACATTTGGAGAGACAATGAAAGCAGCACAGGATTAAAAGGAGTGCAGATACCAAGATCTCTGAAACCACCACCACAGACTGAATACCTGCCTAGGGAGAATAAAGCTTTCATGAAATGTGAAATATGTAATACCCACTTCACTACAGTTTATTATATTTTCATCAATTGATGTTTCAGACAAAATAACTTTAAATGCCCTGTGTACGACGCTGATCCCATTATGGGGTCCCTATTGTGACGGTTCTCTAAAAAAGGGTCTGCATAATTTTAAAATGCTGCTGAGCCCTTTTAAGAAATGTGATGGGCTTACAAAGTATAATGTGATCATACAGCCAGTAGACAGAAGGTTTATTGTAATAGAAGTATATGCTACAAGCCACTATTGAACAATGTTTCCTAAACTGTGTATATGGAACTCATGAATGTTATTTCTTGGTTGAGCAACATTTCTCAGCGGTACTGAAGCTAAATAGCCTTCGAAACCCCGTCCTACAAGTAGAGTTTTTGTGATTCTGGACTTTGTATGATAACCTATGGGGTGTGGGATAATTAGGGTTGAGGGCACAGACTGGTAAAAGAGTTTCCTGGAAAAACAGCAAAAAAGGACAGAAATGTGGGGTATCCGGCTAGACGAAATGTGTTAGGACAAGCCTGACCTGGGTTTCCTTCTCCTTGTTCTTGCCTGTTTGTGGTGGGGCAACACATGAAAGGTCAAAAAGCCTGTATCCTAGGGTATACAGGGTTCAAAATTAACCATTTCAATTTCACACAGTCACACTTTTTAGGACAACCTCTGACCCACCATACTGTAAGCACTGTATGTAAACATTGAAGCAGTCATCATTTGCGATGTTGACTGAAGTTTATTTGCATAAATAAACCAAAGTTTGCTTTCTAGCCAGTGGAATTGTAGGGCTCATTAGTTGGAAAAGTCTGGTTCTTATCAATGTATGTACATTTTTCAAAAACATTTCTGATACCCAAACCTAATGATCGATTTGGGAATAAATTGGTTACCTGCCAACAACAAAATCTCTGATTGTCCTGATTGAAACATGGCACATCTCACATAAGGCCATGTTAACGATCAATTGTTAGTGTATGATCAGTGTCTAGTAAATGATACAGGCTTACGCTTACAGGTTATATGGAAGGGACTTTTCAGTTTCACCCAAACCACTACATTTTAGACTTTGTGGTAACCGACGGTTATAATATTGCTAATGGTTATAGAAAATTAAGTGTTTAAGATATATATAAAAAATACACTTTGGGGTATGCTGATTTTCCCAGGTCTGTAGCTGCTGTCAGGATTGTATTGGATTTGGGGTTGCGTTTTGGATTGGTGGTGAACTTAAGCTATTTTGAGGATGTGACATTAACATTGGGCGGGTTTGGGTAGGGGTGCTATCATTGAGTCATTTTGACTCCCAGCGCTACAGCGGCAAAGCAGGAGTCGGGTCACAGTGTTCTGACCCCCCTCCGAGGGACAAAGGGGCTCTCTCTCTTCTCAGTGTCTTAAAATGGAAATCAACACTGATTTAGAAACCATATGGTATTATTATTTTCCTGGACAGTTTCGAAATGAACACTAACAGCATTAGACTACATACGGTATGCCAACATCTTATAGGACACTACGTTGGGCTTAGTATAATTAAATGTATTATTTACTTGTGTTCTTCAATAGAAATGTCTCCCTCACATAAGTCAACAATTTCAGAAATGCTTGATCGCAGTTGTAGTTCTATTTATCGTAGTTTTTTGTGCACTACAGTTTTCACTAAACACTTTAACAGTTCTGTAATGTTTGCATAAAGCATGTAAGGACAAACTATTTCTCAAAACTATTCACACAATTTGCTGGCATTGGAAATATGCAGTAACAACAAAGTGTCACCTTTAATATCTTGTACATCCTGTATCTTCAGGATAGTGGCTCATTCAGTAATACTGATATCTTTGTTTCAAGGCTAAATATGTACTAAGAATAATTTAAGAAAACAACAATTACACCATTTCACACTTTGGATATTGCTACTGCTCTGACATGTTTGGCTGCAGTTTCAGTGAGGCACTTAGCAGTTAAACTGTCCAGGCTTTAAGAATAACTTGTGGATTCTGTTTTAGGGTTGGTTTCCCCTTTAGTTTTATATGTGTGTCTCTTTATAAAGGCCTAATTTGGTCATGTGGTTTGATAATTATGTACTGTAATTACTTTGAATTCAAACAATGTGTGTGTTCATTTCTTTTCAGAAGTATTTGTGAATAGCAAGTTGACACATTTTGCTGTCATGAAGGGTTGTGGTATGTATGTACAAACCAATTACTTGGTGCCGTTACACTTTGCAGCACATATAAATCTTTATTGTGTCTTCTTTTATCTGAGAGGAACAATTCTATGAACTTACATTGCCTTAACTATCAAGTGAAGTCTGTTAACTGAAGCTCGCTCTCCGGCTGGATGAAATGTGTTTTTACTGGTGCTTCGCTGTTAGTTTATACTAGTCCAGACCTGTATTCATAAAACCTTTGAGGACAGAGCTTCTACACCAGAAAAATATCTATTTGGAGTTTGTATTTCTTGAAAAAGCGGTCTTAAGCCTTAATATAAGGGTTTAACTGCATTGTTCATGACTACCGATTGCTAAAATATCAGAGGTTGTGTTTAACACATTAGCATTTTAGAGAATTGGGCATTTATCTTCTTACTCATTGTTACTTACAGGATGCTGCCTGAAACAGTAACACAGACCTGCTAAAATGCTAATTGAGATGATGGACATGTAAACCCCCTAAATTGCACATCATCAGCAGTGGGATGCTGGTATAGTAGAGAATCTTTAATTATTTAAAGGTCCCCTATTGTACTGTTTTTATATATATATATTATATTATATATATTAATATATTATAGGTCTGAGATATATACAGAACATGTCTCTGAAGTGTTTGGCTCCAAATACCAAACAGATAATTGTAGCATTACCCATAACCCCCTCTGTTTCAGCCCTGTTTCAAAAGTGCTGATTCTCTGTCTGTTACTTTAGATGAAAATAAGGAGCCCCTCCTGGATCAGGACAAAAAGTGAGCAAATCGTTGTTCCTGAAACTTTCAGAATCTCTTTACACCGAGGGGACACATGCTTATGGATACAAGACAAGAACAAGTGGATTTTGCATAATAGGTGACCTTGAAAATGAAAACAAATCCCAAATAGTCTCTAATAGGCACTTCTATAACACATACAGTGTCATACATTCTTGAAGCTATATGTTTTTTGCCACACCCCTGGTATCAATGATGAATAAGTCTGGTTGTACTGTTTTGAGATAGCTTTATGAATACTGGTCATCTTTTGTTCAACATAGCAGACTCTGTGTAGGAAAAATATCCGGAGCACCAAGGACACTGTCTTCGACGTGATTAACCTTTATGAAGACGTGCTATAACGCAGCTGTGAGGCTTTTTGTTGTCGCTGTTAAAACTGAAGATGCTACCATATTTTGTATTACTGTTTGATGTTTTTTGTAGCACAAAACTACATAAAGAGGACTCCAAGAGGGCAAAATATTTCTGTTTAACAATGCAAAGTGCATTATACCGTCTGTTAGCTCTGTATACAAATTATGTTTAATATTACACTTATGTGAAACTATAAAATATGGTTCTGATCATCATTTAACGTCTGACCTCTTTCTCTTGTCATTCTTGGTGTATAAATGAAAACTTTTTCTCTCCAACCGTAATGGTACGTATTGTTACCTCTGTGCATCTGATCGCAGGGAGATATTCCTTTCATTCGTTTACCTTTTACAGACCACATGAATGTCAAATTAAAAACCTGTTGAAAATCCAAATCTAGGAAGAAAAAACAAACAATGTTGATGTTGTTGTTATTAATATTATTGCTATCAAAAGAGAAAAACAGTATCGCATTAGTGTTTTTTGCTGTGCGGAGACTGTCTGGTATGTATCTATGTATTACTTGTGGACCACATTTTGCTCGCTGCCTGAGTTATGAAATGAAACAGTTCTTAAGGCTTAAAAATGAATTACATTTTTGCTTTTGTTGCTTAAAAGGCCCCACTTTTAAACTTCCCTTCACCTTCAACTATAAATCCACACACAATTGAGCTGTGATCAAAAACGTGAAGTAGTTTTTTTACACTTCTTATCTCACGCTGGGGTTGGGACTAGGTCAGAGTATCGGGTAAATGTTTAAAATATGAAGAACATAGTCAGTGTCAAATGAACTGATGCTGTCTAGTCAAAATTCGCTGATAGTGGGATTTCAAAAAGGATTGGGGATTTGTTGGGGTCAGGTGACAGAGCTGTTTGTATCACATGACTCTGGCTGAAGCAAGTCGCAGACTGAACTACCATGCTAGCTGGCTTGTTGTCGATGCATAGAGACTTTTTGCTGAAGCTTTTAAATTGTATATTTTTCTCTGCATATGAAATGAAAATAAAATAAATGATGGCCATGTAGCGTATGACTCGTTGATCTATTATCCTGACTGTTTGTCGTATGGACTCTTGGTGTAAGTAACACACTTCATTTTATTGTTACATTATTATTCTTGCATGTATTACCATTGTCCTTATGTTTAGGTACAGGTACAATATGTCTGTATTCAATCATCGGGACACAAATGATCA